GAGCAGGGACCCCCAGCCTTCGCTTGGCCCAGAGCTGCTGCCCTGTTGCGGTGGCAGAAGATGCGTGCTGGCCTCCCTTAGCGCTGGGTTTCCTCGGGGGAGGGGTGGCACCAGCTCCGTGCTGGCAGCCTCGAGTCATGAGTTCAGTTTGAGGGCGCTGACGGAGCGACAGCTTCTCCGTCCGGCCAGAACCTGACCGTCTGTGTGCTCTTGCAGCCCTTGGTCCTAAGTGCGTATTCAGGAAATGCCGAAGGATACAGTCAGAAGCACGTAGGTATCGGTGTGGTGTTTGTCAGCCTGTTGCTGTTCTCTGTCATTTATGTCTGTGTCATGGCTTTGGACTAACAGACCAGGTCATCTGTAATGCCTGAGGATGGGCATCAAACCGTGTGGACAAAGACGTTTTTGTGTTTTGCTCGTATGTGTGCTCAAAGAGGGGCTGTCATAGTTCCTTTTTAAACATCATTTACTTCTCAGCTCTCGTTACTTTTCAAAACCTTGTGCAAGTACACAAAAAGCAATCAAGAATGCTGTCTTACTGTTCACTTACTGTATAGTTTTACAGCCCACGTTAAGAAGAAAGTGGCAAGCATGCTAATCCTTCTTGGTGGATAGCTTGAGTGCTTCTGCTGGTGCGTTAGACTAGGGTATCAACTTTATTTTTAACCATGTTGATGTATTGCTTCCCCCAAAGGGGCTGCCTGTTTTCGTCCCTTGTTACACTGCCGTTGTGTTGATACAGCTTTTCTGTAATTTTGACTTGTTTTTTAAAGGGTTTTTTTTATACAGAAGAGAAAGGAGTAATGTAACAGCCTGTTTTACAGAAGAGATTTGGAATGTGAAATGTGATGTTAGCTGTTTTGTAAGGAAGGAGGATTCAGGGATTCTCTTTATTTCAGCTGAATATATTCACGGCTTTTAACAGAGGGACACAAGTTGTTGATAATGAAGCATCTGAGTGGTGGATACTTGTGAAGATCTCAGCCTAAGCCAGTTGGATTAAGTTGCTCATTAATTCTGAGCTAGAGCAATAGAAAAGAAAACAGTTATTCTCTTTCCTAGTTCCCTATTCTATGAATAATTTTTTTTCTTTTGTTTGTATCAGAAGACAAGGATATTATAGATTGCCTCAGTCATCCAAAGAATAAAGCTGCATAATTCTTTCCATATTAGCTCTGTGGTACAGAATATGAATATTTTGCTTGTGGGGGGTGGAAAGGTCTTCAAGGATCTATTTAATTTATGTGACAAATATGTAATTTATAATTCTTCATGTTCAACTTTTAATTCCATTTTACATATACTTACCTTCAGCAGCAGTTGCAATATGCTTCAGAGGTGAGGAGCAAGACTGTTCGGTTCATGAGTTTAAGAAATGCAGGAACTCTGAATGACACAAGGTAAATTTTATTTTAAGGCATTAATATGAAAATATTCTCTCTGCATATTAAAATAATTTCTAAACATAGTAGGACCATCAGACTAATGTAGTGTTGATATGATGATGTGAAGGAAAATTACAGTTTTAGTGAAAAGCTTTTTGGGTGAATTTGGGAAGCCACTTAGGAAATAATTCATGTCCGTAAATGCAGGTGTCTGGCACCATTTCGTATATGTCAGCATACATGGAATTTCTGCCTTGTGCTGAGGGAGTGTGATACAGCACCAGGAAGAGAATTCTCCCCCTCTGATGGAAGCGGTTGGATGCCCAGTGAAAGACTGTGCAGATGTCTAAAATGGCTCTTACTATTAAGTATCTGAACTGCACCCTGAACCAGAACATGAATCCTGCCTAATCCCAAGGCCTTTCGTTCTCTATGTCCCGGGGTGTTTTTGTGGTGTCCCTCACATAAGTGGCATGGAGTGTATTTTAGTAACTGGCTAGCAAGAAACTGCAAAAAACCCTTACGTTTTATATCATCAACTGACAGACACTGAGTCACGGTAGTTCATAGTAACTGTTGCGTTGCCATACACATTAGCAAAAATGAAATTATTTCACTGAATTGTCTGTTGCTAGAGATACCCACCTACACTCCTGGTTAAAAGTTGACACTGGTATGGGTGGAAAAACTTACGTGATGTAATTACATTTGTTTAATTAACTGATCGAGACTTTGTTCCCATTATTTTTTTCTGCTTATTTAAAGAGGATAACAGAAGCAGTCTCACAAGTGCTGTAAGCCTTAGGTAATGGCTACCAGGGTGCTTTGAGACTCTCTGAAGAAGCAGCTAATTGTATGTATTAGTTCCTAATCACACTTTAAATAATGTCTAATTACCAGGCTGTGTTGGTAATGCCAGTTGAGAAGTCAAATGCTGTACAAAGACTTGGCATGTGATATCATGATGTTTCTAAACTGCTTACAGCTACCGTGAGTTTCAAATGACATATGCTTCTAAATGGGACATGCTTGTATCTATTTGTACAGTTCAAAACTAAGTTAATTCTTGCACAAAGTCCTTTTATGAAAGTGCTTTATTTTGAAGTCTGACTTTGTCCTCTTAGTACACAGGGGTAAGTATATCTAAGGAAAGAAGTACATACTCCTCAGTTAGAGTTCTCTACTACCAAAATTTCAAAATTCCACCTCCATTTATAAGATGGATTGTTACCCTTAGAAAAATTACTACTTGTTTAATATGATCGTTTCATGGTTACTGTTTCCTCTAAGGTAACAGTCTTGTTATGTTTTTATTATAGGGAAAATACTGTCTTTTATGTTTTTCCTCCTAATTATGTGTTTGTATGTCATTTGTAGCTCTTTAGATGAGACCACCTATGAAAAACTGGCTGAAGAAACACTGGACTCCTTAGCAGATTTCTTTGAGGACCTGACAGATAAGCCTTTCACCCCAGAAGATTATGATGTCTCTTTAGGGGTATGTTTTAAACATCCTGTTACCACTGTGATTATTTTAGGGTTTCTTTTTTTCCTTGGAGGAGAATTTTAAATTGGTCACCTTAGTGCCAACACATAAAATACAATTACATTTTACAGCTTTATTGTTAAAATATGCCTGTTTATACTGACTGGAGCAACTGTTCTGGTATAGAGTGACATATGCTGTTGTATGATTTGAGGATTTTAAATGTTTAGTGTATAGCTGTGATAGTTTAACTTAGCTGGCAGCCAAACAAGACACAGCCACTTGCCTCCCCCCAGCCCCTGCCACCTTCCCCTCACCCAGGGAATCGGGGAGAGAATTGGAAGGGTAAAGGTCAGGAGACTTGTAGATTGTGATAAGAACAATTTAATATTTAGAGTAAAAATAAAAAATTAAAATAATAAGAATAATAATGATAACTATATATATATCTATGAGTGATGCAGAGTACAATTGCTCACCACCCGCTGATAACGATCCCAGGGGGTGAAAAGGAACCCCGAAACCCAAATCACAATCCTGGAAAAGCAAGCCCGAGCAATTCCTGAGAGAATCCCCCCCTTTCCAGTCAGCCCCAGTTAATACACTAAACTTGAGGTACTATGATATGGAATATCTTATTGCCATATCCAACTGTCAGTTCTGGGTTTTACTGACTACTGCACTTTTCTTCTCCACTCCCCCCTTCCAGTCCTCTGCTCTTGGAAACTGCCCAAGCACAGTGTCCTTGTAGTTATCAACATTGTTCTCATAACAATCCTCACTGAAATCAAAACACGGTGCTTTCTAGCTGCTAGGAAGAAAATTAACCCTATCCTAGAAAAAAACAGGATAATATCTTTAGATAACAATTGTTAAAGGCCAGAATCCATCTAATCTCCTTTAAAGTACAGAAGGAACTGTTGGAGTCAGCAGTTCCTCCTCCTCAACAGGGAGGCTGAGGTCATAGAAAGGAAAAGGATGAAGAATTCTGCTTTAAGTAGTGAATCAAAAAAGTGATGTTTTGCTGTTAGAATCCATTATAGCTAGCAGGCTTCTAAATCTCATTCCCTGCTTGTTGTACTCTGTCCCAAGGAAACTTGTTACTTTGCATGGACTAGGAGAGGTATCTCAGTAACTATGGCTGTTTATGCTATCTGCAGCATGTTTTCCTCGCTCAGAATAAAAAAATATGAATTCTTTTAGTTAATATATTGTGTATTACAGTGGGTTCACTTATGAAGCAGCCCTCAAGTGAAAGGCAATATCTGTTTCCTAAGTGTTCTCTGAAGAAATCTTATGATTGGCCATGTAATATCAACTTCTGACCTATTCTGTAATTCTGCAGGGGAGGCAGGCAGAGCTGGAGATGCAGTTAAAACATGGAAAAGAGGATCCTGAAGAGGTGCAGTACAAACAATTTACAGCCTGGCTCTGGTAAGGAAATACCAATCTGTTCCTGATCACTTGTAATGGCAAGTAAGTGGGGCAGAGGAGGACAAAACTTCAAAGCCTTTACGTTTGCAAGTTTAAAGACTGTATGATCACTAATGAAAAACAAAAATAAACAAACAAACAAACAAAAAAAACCACACCAAAAAAATCCCCACGAAAAACCCAAACACCAGATACAATGAACAAGGTGAGGATGGGAGTGGGAAGAAAGGCTACCATCTAACTGTCTGTAAGGATTCCCATATGTACACCTTCACAGGTACTCTCCCTGCTACAGTGTCTGAAACTTTGTAGGATGAGCAACTGGAATGAATGGAAAACTATTTGGTTTGTGACATGTTAAAGCAGAAGGAGGGAAACTTACTTGTAGAGACTAAGTGAGCTGTCTTATTGAAAATGGCCTGATAAAAGGAATGTAAGCCATGGTTATGATGTATGTTGTAGTGAACTGAGACACACCTCAGTTCCTATGGTAAGCTGGTGATGTTGAGCCTGAGGAAGTTGTTTAAAACCAAGCACACAGTGCACACCCTGATCCGTATCCTCAACTAGTTCTGTTTCAGTCTGCTGAGGAGTATCTCTCAGTCTGTCAGGATTTAGCCATGTATGTGCATGGCCAGGGTGACAAGGGGGGAATTTAGAATTTAATTCTTCCTCATGGAGAGGAAGAACTATATATCCATGGACAGTATAAATATCTGTTTCTGTGCTTCTTCCTAAGTGCACTGTGAACAAAAATGCCCTTTGCCCATTTCATTCAAAAAGGTGTTAACAGGAATAAAAAAATTGTGTTTGTTGTTTTATTCCAGTTAAGTCTAGATTAGAGGGTTTCATAGTAAGATGCAGAATGATATGGTATTATAGAAGAGATTCTTTTTGTAGTAGTGGGACAATTTTCTGTTGTTGCTCTGCCCAGTCTCTTGATGGGGCAAAGAAGAAAACATTTTCTAGGTGAGAATAATAACTCATAATAGCAATGCTGCTTTTGTAGATTTCTCCTGAACTGATTTTTGCTCTGTATTTCCTAAATAGTGCTAGTGTAAGCTGTGTCAAAAATTAACAGAATCTCCTTTAACAGTAGAGAAATCAAAGCAGTAAGTGTACTGGGAACCTAGTGTTAGCTTTCATGTCTTTTCCTGCTCCCCCTTAATTGCTTGGTGCTTCAGGGCTCTAACTTCACTACACATTAAGCATTTCTGTTGCCCACTGGGTTTAACCTGATTGTGGACAGCTTGATATAAACCTTAGTGTTAATGCTTTATTGTATAAGTACTATGCAATTTTACATTGGTATTTGCCAAGTTGGTGGAAGTACTTCTAGTGTAGGTGAGTTTGAAACTGTGTGCAAAAACACTATGGTTATGAAGGAAAGCCTGAGTACATTTCTTTTAAAGGCTGAGTAGGTTTCTTTTAAAGCCTGAGTATAACTCAGTCTTATAACATATGGCCCTATTTTATGAGGCAGGTATTTTTAGTCTTCTAATCATGTGTTGTGAAACTGTGATTGGAGTGTATCTTTTTCCGTAGGACGACAGTCATGGCTGGGATGGTATTGTATGCTGTAGTAGAGAGGATCTCTTTTCTCACCCAAACCTGGGAATATAGAGGATTCACTGCATCTCTGCTTCTGTCTTGATATGAATGCAAAACTAAACAAATGCAGACAAGTAGCCTGTTATAAATCTAATACAATAATATGTGAGAAATTGTAACTACTCCTATGGCTTTCATTTAAATGGGTTCAGGTTACTATACTGCCTAACAGCATCACTACCCATAGTGGTTTCCAGGAGTATAGTAAATGTTGGATAAATTGTAAAACATTCTAATTTTATTATGCTAAGACATAGTGCCATGAACTGGAAACTTACGTGTAACGGCTCAAAGACTATTGCATGAACCTGTAGGAAGTCAAGTAAGAGCCCTTTGTAAAACACTGGTAGTGCACGTGAGCATAAAGAAATGTTGGGTGGTACATAAGCACTTTTACAGTTTTAATGCTTGTGTTTAATTTGCATTAAGTCTTCTGATAGTTAGATTAGATAATTGTTAACTTAAAACGGATACATGTAAGGCAGAAGGGGAAATTAGCCAAGTTCACACTATGGTATAATGAACATGGTGTAAATTCTTTCTGTTTCTGTTGCAGGGTCAGAGATATGTTGACTGATATCATCAAAGGTGCTTCCAAGTAAGAACTGCTAATTTATTACAGATGAGAATGAGTTCTCTTTTGTAGCAGAAGATGTAAGATAATATTTTTTACAGTTTGTTATCTGACAGTTTCATGATTTCATGTGACTGCTGTTCAGGAAAGGAAATTTTCCCCACGTTGTGTTTTTTAAATTTTTAGCACTGACTGTCTATGAGAAAGGCTGATGTCTAATGTTTTGAGTAAAGCCTGGGTAGTGCTATATGCACTACTAGGCTATTCTTTTTTAACTATCAGACTGTTTGCCTCAAGTAGCTTCGTTTATGTAGAAGTTAGCAGGTCTTTAGTGGAGTATGAGCTCTTCAGAATTGTCCTACTTTCTGTTAAAGTATCCTTGCACCCAGATGCCTCAAAGATATGAAATTACATGTTTTTAGATTGTGACAGGTTCGTTCATTTGGTATTAGAATTAGCACATGCCTTTCAGGCAGCAGTGAGTATCTTAACCTTCCTTCACAGGCTGATAAAGTGGTTTGACTTCCTTTCACTCTCCACTGGCAGCTAGCTTCCTATTATGCTTTGCCGTTGATTAACCTGAAATTGGCCAGTTGCACCAGGTTAAGCAAAAGCATCAGAAATAGTGAATCCTTATAAGAACAAGTACTTAGAAAATATTAAATCATAAAAATGTCCTCAGTGAAAGAATTGCAATGAAATCTTGCAGACTGTTTCAACATTGGTATTCTTGTAAATATATAAAAGACTAGTTTGAAATATTTCTGTGAATTGAGAGTTCAGGAGATTTTAATTAAGACTTTCCATAAAAGCTTGAACTTCTTCCATTTTTAACTTATCTTTGGTTCAGCTATTTAAAATAATCCTAGCAGTTCCATTTCCTTGCATGTCAATCTGCCTTGAAGGAGTCAGTTAAAGATGGTTGAAGTTGGAAAATCTGGGATATTGACATCTATTTTTTCATGAAACTGAACACAGTTATATTCTCTCTCTTATTTTTAGTTGTCAGATTTTTTTTTTTCTTAGTTCCTTAAATGTAAAGGTTTGCACTATGGCAGAAGCTAGTACTCTTTGAAACCTATCTTTTTCCATGATGTTAATGTTTTCATAGCATAGGGGAGTAATTCAAAAGTTGTTTTTTAAGCTGAGATTTCAGTGATGGCTGCTCTGCTAAATCTCCTGAACAGATGCTGTTGCAGTGAAGTGACACCTGCTTGTCTAGAATTCTCTGTTTGAAGAGCTTTTTTGTGTTGTCCTGTGTAGAGATGGTACTAGCCAAGGCAAACTGGTGCATTTCTGTGAGTGCTACTTGCTCTGCAGGCTGGCAGTCCTTATTATAGTGGAAGCAAGCTTCTGTTTTTATACAACTTTATGTGTGCTAGGCTTTAAACAAAAGACAAAAAATAAAAAATAATTAAATGCTTCTCTCCCTCATTCTTTCTCTAGTTCCTGAAGATGAAATGCAATAGACTTTTGCTGAGCTCTTAGAAGACAGCCCAATAAAATTGCTAGGTGCAAAGGCCTTCCCTCCTCAACCACTGTAGCATCAGTTTTCTGCATTGAGATACATGTTTTGTTGTCTGCATTTCTATTATGCTTCTTAGCTGTTTGCCTTTTTCTGTTCAGAGACAGCCCAGTGGTGAAAGGAAACTCTATTTTTGCCTTAACTGGGCTTGCAGTTGCTGTAGCCAAATACGAAAGCAGCCTTTCCTCAGACACTGAAGGGATACCTGAGGTGAGTCAGTCTGAGAAAGACATTCTCTATTCCTAGTGGGATATAATGAAGCAATATGGCTAGGTGTTTGGGGGTAAGTGGCTGTGAAGTACTTCACATTTTGAAGTTTAAATTTTACTCTGCTCAGTAAATGCCATCTGGTAGCTGCTGCATGAGCTATACAAAAGCAGTCAGAGTATATAGGCACCTTCTCACAAAAAACATGACTAACACATTTATTTGTTGATTTTGACAGATGAGATAGAGGTCTAGTGGACACTGAAACCTAGCCAGCCTCTTTTCATATCATTTTTGCTTTCACTGAATAGTACCTGATCAAAAGTAGTGTCCGGAGGGTCAGCACTGGCAAGTAAAACATACTACTTATTGTACATAAGAATGACAAAATAATCTCATTCCTGATGGATCATAGCTGGAACGTCAGTAGTTGAGCTTATGTTTAGGTAGTGTGATAGTTCCGCTGGGCTAGCGCCTCAGCCAGCAGCCAACACAGCTGTTCAACCACTTCCCCCCCACCCCCAGGGGATAGAGGAGAGGATTGGGGGGGGCGAGGGTAAGGAGACTCATAGGTTGAGATAAGAAACATTTAACAACAGAAATAAGAGAAAACTTAAAATAATACTAATATTAAAATAATACTAATATTAAAATATTAGTGATAATTATAACAGTAACAAAATATGCAAATGAGTGATACACAGTGCAGCCGCTCACCACCAACTGACCGAGCCCAGCCCGTTCCCAGATAACGATCCCAGAGGAGCGACAATCCCGAACTGAAACCGC